GGGATAACTTTTCACAAACTAATGAAAAATGATTAACTGAGTTGTCTCTTTTGAATTAAACCAAGCACTTGATAGCTGGTCAAGGTTGTTTATACTAGAAATCCAAGTAAACATATTCCTAAAATTCTCAATAATTTCTGGTCATATTATAGTATTAGGCTCGGTCCGTACGTACGTACGAATTGGAATATCTTAAGAACCATCGACTGGATTCTTTTCATACTTGGTACCTAGGTTCATCAGAGTATAAGAAAGGTACCAGTAAGGTTTGGTGACCTTGACCTTCATTTCAAGATCACCAGGGGACTTTACGCTTGTCAGCGAGATATCCCAAGAACCGTCCACTGGATTTTCTTCATATTTGACACCAAGCTTTGCCTAGGAAATTGATATTTGGTTGATTTGGGTGCCCTTCACTGCATTTTCAAATTCACAGCGACACTTTGAAGATTTCAGTATGTTAAGATTGTCAGCAAGATATCTCAAGAAGGGTTCACTGGATTTTCTTCATAGATTTTCAAGACTTCTCTTGAATGTTTTTTTATAACCAATTTCTCTATTACTATTTTTGACATATTTCATATGTCAAGGTCAAAGTGAGTCTTGAAAATATTTGTGTGTTTGAACAGCTACACAGCAGAGCAAAATATCAAGAGAGGTTGACTGGTCATGTTTTTGTTGACATTTAAATTCATCTTAAACTACAACCTTCACTTTCATTACTCTTTAAGTTTGCGGCGGGGGATTATGTCACCTTAGTGACAACTGCTTGTTTTAGGTTGCTTTTGCAGGCTCCACCATAAACGATGGAACCATTATCAAGTTTGGTTCTACAAATCATATATGTGCGACTCTCTGCTAGAAATTTGGGTTGGTATTTGATGTAGATATTTATAATTGACATTGAAGACTTGTGTTAATGCGCTGGACATCAAGTATACTTATGGTTAAACACATGCATAATGTTCAGCAAAATGAGATTTTATATCAATGAAGACAGTGATGATAGGTCTGGCAGGGAATAATAATCACAATGCAAAATGTTCGTCTTGTGAGGTCAGAGGCAAGCGTTAACCCCTCTTGCATACCTAAGAAGAAACATGCTAGAAGGTTCTTCACTAAGGCAGATGATTCCGGAATATGCTCCCTGTAGCAATTTCCAGATAATTATACACTGGTCGCTCGTAGTCACTGGAAATACCTACAAGCCAGTCCGGTAAATCTGTGCAGCTGCATTAGCGTACTTCCGTATCGAAGGTAAAAACGTCTGCTACCACATTTACGCTTGAAATCGGGACTTTTCTACAAGGGACTGGCTTTTAATCACTAAAGGTAAGTAAATAATAGTAATCGACAGATAAATTGACAGTTTTATGAAAATTCGTTTTCTTCAGACTTTTAAACCTTTTTCTTCGTTATTCATAACTGGATTTAATATGAAACACTCTTCTTTACATTGATGAAGTGATTTTTGCAAATAATCTTGCCCTAATACGCTTCCATACTTCGGATCTCCAGCTGGATGTTATGCGCATCAGTTGCTGCGCATAATTACCGGACAGCAAGCAATGTTGTCAGAACGCCGGTAAGGTCAACCGTGTGGCATAATGCAACGTTAGAATCTTATAGTCGTAAACCACAAAAAAATAAGTTTTAAACGAAAACTACTGAAACTAACAATATCCTTTATAGATGGCGATTTGACAAACTGATCCCTTGTGATGGAAAACTCATGATCAGTTCAGTCAAGCACTTTTAAGTTCCTGCTTTACTGTTTTCGTTTAATTATTGTTTTGTTAAAACAATTGGCTTGACTGATAAATATCGATGTACAAAACATGGTATATAAAATAAGTAGTATATGATATATGGGATAGTTCACGGCATGGATGCACTTCATGAAATACCTGTATATCAAGCAGTTTGTTGAAGTCCGGTACAACGTAGAAGTGTAAACCATCTATCGCACCAGGTTGCAAGAGTGTTGGGATGAAGATCGAGACAAGGAGAATGTACGGAAGAAGTGCAGTTACATACACAGCCTGTAGTCAAGAATATTTATTGTTGCATGATTACATGTAATGACGACCATGTAACGTAGAGTAAGATGGTTTGTCACTATGTGATAAGCTGTGTCAAAATTACAAATATTTATACACGGAACTGTTGTAATTAGAGCAGCATTTCCATGATAAACAATCTGCTAACATCAGTTGTTCATTGCTTTTAGTAATATCATCAAAATTTCGACGAGAGCTTCACTTAGCCTTTTTGATGCTCTTTGAAAGTTTCGATGATAAAACATGCTCTTGTTTACTTTAAAAAAAACTGGTAGGAATGACATGCTTGACTATTGTTCATCACAAACTGAAAGGTAACTACAATATGTTGAACGAGATTCCATGTAAACATTCCGTAATTATAGTTGTTTTTGCTTACCTCTGACATATGCAAGAGCATTCCCCACTATTTTTAATTAGCAAGATTGTAGACAATTGAGGCACGCCATGAGAAAAAACTAACTTGTTATTTTCAAGAATTGCTTCACTTGTCACCGAAGACTTATTGGGTGTGGGGTGTTGGGGTGCTTGGCTTTTTCTCCGAGTGCATATTAGCATTCATGTGTAGTACTTACTTGATAATTACCTTACCAGAAGACTTGATTCCACGAATTAGACATAGAAACAATATTACATATGAACCAAACAGACATCCAACTATTTGCCACTGTACAGATCCCACATCTTCCAAGCCAGTAGAGACACGCAGTACATTGTACCTGGAAGTTAAATAGTGAGTGAGATTTAGTTTCAAAACCCTGACAGATGTCAGGTAACATGCGACCGATATTCATGATTGTTACGTAGTCCAATGTTACGTTCTTGTGACTTTGTTAAAAAAAATATATGGATATTCCTCTTCAAGTGAGACGAGTGTCTAATCTTACTGCCAAAACTCCTCTGCTGGTGTATGAGCCAGAGTCACATTTTCCCAGAGTTTCGCTGTAGTGGTTATGTTTGAAGTATTCCCAGCCAAGGTTGTCATGTTACTCCAAAACGTTGTATTCATGTCGTCAATACAAAGGTCGGTGTTCCAGCTGTTGCCACAAGTTGTCCAGGGCAGGACGCTGGAGCAGGACTTTACCATGTAGTAGATGGGCCAGGCCAAATACAGGTTGTAATAGGGCATGAAGGAGCATGCAACTACGACTGCACCAACCCCAATCCCTGATTGATCAAACAAAATGCACATATATACTTTTATCCTGGTGTCACATAAACCGATAGTAACGTTAACGTTTGTCAGTTGAGTTCATGTCACTAAAGACACAAACATACTCATATTGAACAAAGTGCGTTGCTGTGAATAAATCTGCTTGTGAGCGTGCACTAAAACAGGAGTAGACATTAAGGTGCTCTTGGAGCAGCCTCCACAGTTAACAATAGCATGAACGTTTTATTTTTACGGGGACTTGCCATCTCTATTAGATGTAACGCGTATGCCATTTCTTGCATTCACAACAGCAAGGAAAACTTGTCTCATTGACTTCCTGTCACCCTTTGAACACAGCATCACCAACATGGTGGCTTTTGAACATTCTGGGGTTGACGTCTAAAGACACGAAGATTTCTTCGTACGTGCTCGATGGGATCGAAGTCAGGTAAAGTTGACGGCCACTTCATGACGTCAATACCCTTTGCAGGAAACTTAGCCATCTGCACGTGTAAGCGTACCCAGCATAGACGTTCATTATGGTTTAGCTGTGACAGAATCGGCCCAACATAAGGACGTCGAGCACAAAGATGGACGTTTTCTCATGGTCTGGGCTGTTACCTGACCCTTAAACAGCGTGTTACTCGATGACATTGCGGATTTGATTGTTCAAAATGTGACGTCTTTACCTGGCGCTATCCTACCCATTTGATGAACACGTGTCCTCAGGTTGTGAATTTCCTGTATCTCATGGCAACAGCCACAGTAAAGAGGCCAGCCTCGAGCATTCTAGTGTGTGAGTGAGTGAGATAAGATTTTAAGTCACATCGGCAAGATGTCAGTCATATGGGGACTAAAACTAGTTTAAAATATGCCATAAATACATGTAAATAATAAAAAGCCTGTCAACGAAGAACAGTAAAACAGCTAGATCATCCAAATTATGATTATAAAACTAGTATGCAAATCATCGGAAGACATTACAATATAAGAAACAGGCTATAGATTGCCAACAGCTGAATGTAGATCATCATACTGAGGACCATGGGGACTGGCAGTGCATGGACCCAAGCTGTATTTACACCATCCCTTCAGCTATCAGCAAGTTTAGACAATTTAGCCATGAATTAAAATAATATTTATTCTACGGTTAAAAATGGTATGTTTGAATTGACTTTGAATGTTTTGGGACGTACGTACCCCCACAGGAGGACCTCGATCATTCTTCCTGAACGTTCACATTCAACATTTGTTAGGCGTGGCATAAGAAGTGTTTATCTTTCAACGATTGTTAACGTGTGTTTGTAGTTTCAAATTGTACCTGAGGTAGTCTAGTTATCGACACTTTCCATTGACGACAAGCTTGTCAGTCAACCTATGTTTAGCATTTACATTCAAATTCTAGTCACATGGCTGAAATATTGCTGAGGTGATGTTAAATTTCATCTCATTCACTCACTCACCCTCAGTCGTCTGTAATGTGATGACAGCCTTTTCGATTGATTGGGCCCTATTCTAACACGGAATTTGGAAGACAGAGTTGTGGGTGGTTGTCTGCAAAGTGCGTGTTGTTAGGGGTGCTTTGGTGGCATGTGAAACTGAAAATCAGATGACATATGTGATTTGTGAAGGATCCAGGTTCAAATAATCATGGATGTTACCGAAAGTATTGTTATGCTGTTCACGGTGAACTAGGAATGAGAAAATACAGGAATGTAGTCGCTTGATTATTTGTATGTTCAATGTTCTGAATAGCCTGTAAGACAAAATACTATTTATTCACTGACCTTTGAGTAAAGGGCAGAAGCTCCAAACTTGTTTGGCACCCTTTCCAGAGAATTGAGATATCATTGATTCTAAGAAGAACGTTGGAAACCCGGTAATGAGCAGTAACGAGATGAATGGGATCAGGAAAGCTCCTGGAGGAAATAGGTACATGAATATTATATATTGATAGGAAAACAAGAAGCGAGTTAAGGTATTTGTTTCTGATTGAAGTGTCTGAAAGAGAATGCTGGATTTTACCCCACTTTTAGGCCTGTTCCAAAATATCATTTTGGGTGGCTTCCCAACTGATCCTGGGCCTAAGGGCAGTCATAGGATGCCTTTATCACTACTACTCCAACACATGTCAATAGCAGTATCGTACAAGACATCTGAAGATCTTAATGACGCACATAATAATAATAATAATAAAATGCAGATTTCTTCATGCGCCTTTTCCACGTCAGCAGATATGCTCAAGGCGCAACAATGACAGATTAAAAGAGTCTCCCACATTTAATTTATACAGCAATATGTACACTTCCAAAATAGAGTTCCTAATAATACATTGAAAACAGGTATGTTTTGAGTCCTGACTTGAATGTAGCAATACTATCAGAAACTTTCAGATTGTATGGGAGTGAATTCCACAAGGTTGGGGCTGCATATGAAAAAAGTCCGGTTTCCAAAAGTTTTAAGCTTGAAGTTTGGCACGAACAGAAACTCCTGATTGGATGATCGAAGGCAGCGCTTGTTTGAGTAAGGAGTAAGCAGGTCAGAGAGATATGGGGGAGCAAGTCCGTGACGGGCCATGTAGGTCAAGCAGAGGATTTTGTAGTCGCTTCTTGCCTTGATGGGGAGCCAGTGCAACTGTTTAAGAACAGGTGTGATGTGGCCATGTTTGGGAATGCGACTGATAATACGTGCGGCCGTGTTCTGCACCTTCTGTAACTTATCCAATAGCCTCTGACTGATCCCAAACAACAAGCTGTTGCAGTAGTCGAGCCTTGAAATCACAAGCGCCCGGACTAAGGCATGGGTGGCTTCAGCTGTAAGATATTGACGGATGTTGCTGATGGAGCGAAGATGGACATAGCAAGTCTTACATGCATGGATGATAGTACAAGGGAACATGGAAACTTACTTGATGGGGTAAAGGAAATAATCATGGGAACCAGTGTGAACTAAACGGCCTATGATATATAAAGATCAATGATTAAGTGCATTTCCATAGAAGCCACATGCTAGGAATAGCAAATATACAATAGAATCGAACATACTCCGATATTTACTCCATTGTATTTGATGGATACGATATGAAAGTGAAAGTGGGGGTGAAATGGTGTTTAGCATCGTGTCCAGGAGCACTGCACCTTGGCGGTGACATGCAGACACATGTTTGTGCATAAGGAAGCTGGTGGCCGTCCAGATATTGCCAGTTGTCTAGGGCTAGCACACTGAGACACCACAAGGCTGCATATAATGGATACGACAGTTAGACATAGGATACTGATTCCAATCCTGATAGTCTTGGTTTCGTCCCTTAATTCTGTGTATCGACACTTTAATTGCATTTACGTTTCTTTTTTTTTTTTCCTTGTTTTTTTTTTCGGGTGGTGCATTTACGTTCTTTGGTACGGCTAGGTATCGAACAAATGCATGAACACATGTTTCCTGATTTTAAAGTTGAGTTGAGTTGAGTTGGGCTTTACGATTTTAAAGTATCGAAATCCAACACAGTCGTTGTAGACACAGCAAATATATGGAAAACTGCATAATCATACAGCCCAATTTCCGCAGTCAAATTCCATGTTTGTTTACAGATACACCCACGTTTCTCAGCTGTACAATAGACACTTACATGTTTTGGATACATACAATGACTCTGTGGAATGCTGATAGGTGTGATTTTACCAAGTGAGTGATTGAGTTTAGTTCTACGCCGCTTTTAGCAATATTCCCGAAAATATCCCGTCGGGGAACACCAGAAATGGGCTTCACATATTGTACCTATGTGGGGAATCGAATCCCGGTCTTCGGCGATGACGAGCGAACGATTTAACCACTAGGCTGCCCCACCGCCCTATTTTACCGAGTAGGCATGGCAGCAATCATGTATATTTTGGTATTACAAGATTGTTTCAGGTAAAGGACAACACATGCATGTTTATTGGATCCAATACCGATACCAACATTTACAAGATGACAGCGCATATTATACAGATAACAGAGGTTATGCTTACCTCCACCGTTCCTGTTGCAGATATAGGGGAACCTTAACAGGTTTCCTAATGAAATACTGTAGCCCACCATTGCCAGCATGTAGTCCAGATGTCTGCTCCACGATTCTCTCTGCCGTGTGGCTTCACGTGTATCTCCTTGACAATCTAGCACTGTCATGGGAATTCCTACATCACTCTCATCGCTGCTCTCTGTGTTCGCCATGGTTAGCACGGGTTTAAACCTGAAACGAAACTTGACATATACAAATATACGTAAATGGATAACACATCCGTCAATACGACAATTTAAATACCACTATCACATCTTTCATATCTCTGTAATTGTGTTCTTATCCCGTCGACTACCACTGCTTTCATGAAATAATATATCTCCTAAAGTGACCATGCTTTAGCTTGTTTTTTTTAAAAATTAATGTGTACGAGAACATGTTTTATATATTATTATAACAGTTCTTTGTCTGTTCCAGGTTGTACTTTTGATGATCAGTCATGTTAACGTGATTGTGAAATCAATCAATGTATTGTCTGTGCGGTTGGAAGTTGATCATCAGACTTCGTAGCAGAACTTGATGGTCGGATTGAATTCACCTATATAACATGTGCGTGGAACCAAATGGTTAATGTCAGCGATGACAAAGTGTGTGTTTTGTTCACAGGTACACAGGTTTCAGGCTGTTCAATATTTGACAGCATTTGGTTTCTTTTCCCAAAATGGATGAAATATTGCCGATGTGACGTAAAAGCTTTGTCAAGATAATGAGTAGGTTCCACAGTTTCTGCTGTATTTGATCGGAAATGGGAGTACCTCCGGTTGGATGTTATCAGTTACTCTTCTTAGTGTTATAGTGAACAACCTTGCAATGGTTTTGAAAGAAAATGTGTGGATCATTGTTTGTTGATGACATTAATATTTCATGCCGTGGCACAAATGGTGAGAAACAATTATAACTTTGTTTAAAAAAAGTGCACACATGGTCACTGAAAAATGAATGTATATTTTCCAAACCCCTAATGTGTTGCATTCATTTTTGTAGTAAATGCAAAATACATCATGGCCCAGTTTTATTCTTAGATAAAACCCAATTTGAGTGGCCAAAGAGACCAAATTTCAGGGAATAGCATTTAAACATGTATCCCTCATCATTACAAATCTTAAAGTTAATTGTTTAGAAGCTATAAAGGTAACTTTAAATGCTAAATGGGCTGGAGACCAACACACTATGCTTTAACTCTTTACGGAATATTAATTAGATTAAAGCTTGAATTTGGATGTTGTATACATGGTTCCACCGGTTAGTCGTATATTCAAGAGCTTGGCACGATTCACTATAAAGGTCTTGGACTGTGTTCAGGTGAATTTCAACCTTCTTGTTATCCTATTTATCGGTTCCTACATGATAAGAAACCGAGCTTAATTGCTCCACTTCTGTTCGAGTCCGCATTCAGCATCATATAACTGGTACAATTTTTTGAGTGAGTTAAGTTTTACGCCGCTTTTAGCAATATTCCAGCAATATCACGGCGGTGACACCAGAAATGGGCTTCACATATTGTGGGGAATCGAACCCGGGTCTTGGGCGTGACGAGCGAACGCTTTAACCACTAGGCTACCCCACCGCTCCTTATAACTGGTACAAACATAAGGTTATCTGCAATTACTCTGAAAGTGCAACCGCACTATGAATGTTAACTGTGATAGTGGACTGACGGTTTAGTAATCTTCGTTATCATAATCGTTTCTAAAGATGCGAATAGCTGCAATAGTGGGTAAATGCAACATTTATTCACCCACATTAATACACTTGTTTTATCTGTATGATATGTTTGTTGAAGTGTATTGCTGTCAACTCACTACCATAAGTTCCCAGTATGAAGCATGGGTGCACATACAAATAGAACACATTTACTACAAAAAGGCTTCATGTGCATATCATCAGCAAGTGTGAATCAGATACACAGTTGGCTTGCCATTGAATACGTTTGCTGTATATCACACTGGTGGGTCTGGGTGACCTCGACTTTCCTCGAGCATCGGAGCATCCGTATCATAACAGGTTCAACAGGTTTTGTTTGAAAAGGACACATTTTATGCATGAACGACTTCATTATTCGGGTGATGCGACGTTGCGATACAAATTCTTGTGTCGTCAACAAGCATGAGTGGGGTAAGAAACCGGGACACACACAAAGGCTTCATGTTCATATCATCAGCAAGGCTGAATCAGATACACAGTTGGGTTGCTATTGAGTATGTTTGTTGTATAACACACTGGTGGGTCTGGGCGACCTCGACTCTCCTCGAGCATCCATGTCATAACAGGTTTTGTTAGTGATTCACTCAAAAGCTTTTAATTATAGAAACGAACTTGAAATATAGTTCAGATCTGCGATGTTGGTTTCATAGCCGCTATGTAAATCAGTCCTTCAGAGCCAGTTTACCCATTGAGCATTTCGTCGGGTGATATTAAAGTTGATACGAGATGCAACGGTGTGTGTGTGTGTGTGTGTGTGTGTGTGTGTGTGTGCATTGAAGAGATTAATTAATAGTTATGTGATTTGATTTGGATTCAATTTATGTCAAAGCTTATAATAATGGATCAAAGAATATAATTTGGTACCATCGGAAAGCTAATCTTAAAGAGCGAGAATCCGTTGCTCAAACTGTCAAGAACACAAACATTGGCAGTGGTATCTGAACCGTGCCGTGTTTGCACAGAACCGTGGGTGATATACACTGTAGTAAGCAATGTGATACCTTGAATCGATGCGCTGGGATAATGAGATAACCATGTATCTGCTAGTAAAATGAAAACGGAAGTCTCTCATGTGATAAAGTGAGTGAGTTAGAATTTAACGTCACATCGGCAATATTGCAGCCATACACTGACGAGAAAAACGTTGGAGATACACAATAAATACAAGTAGTTAAATAATCAATCATTGACAAACTGTAAAATAACTAGAGTATCACAAAAAGAGTTAAAACTACTAGCTAGCATGTATTTCCATGTGATAAAGATGCCCTCCGCTGCTAGCTCGCGTCTTGACTACATAGATAAACATTAGGCTGCGTTCTAAACGAAAATGGAATGTATCAACGAGATAACCATGTCTGTGATGGGAGACACTTGCGTAGCAAGTTTCAACCGATTACATAGGGTCTTTTTTTAATCATCATCAAACAGGAAGTTGTACATATATATTTATCATTATTGACCGGAAAAAATCTATCAATTTACAAAACCCGTTAATCATTTTGTTGATTGATGACCTGTCAAAATTGTCCCATTCAGGCAGGTATTCATCTTATGGCTAGATTATACATTGCACCGTTATACTTAGAAAATAGTGTTTTACGGTTATATCCTAGTTTTAAGTATAATCTGTGATAGACTAGTTATTTTATTGAGAATCTTGCGGAACTTCAGGCCTTTGTCTAGCTTGGAATACAAGTTCGTGACAAGCACCAGAATGCCCAATACTTTTGCTGTGTCAGTCCTTTCCTATTCCTTTTGAGTATTGGATTGAACAAAACGAGATATCCAAAGTCTCGGCCACCTGACCAGAAGGATTATGTCTGACAACAGAGCCAACCACGCTCGTTTGTCTCTTAATCGTTACATACGCCAATCAGCTCGGGTGGTCTGGGTTTGATTAATGTGGATGCTCTTCATGATGAAATTTAATTGTGTACTTTTGAAAATATGTTTTCATCGGATTGTCCTCTGGTGAGTGATGCCAAGACTTATGACGAAAGCAAGGAAGTCCACAGCTATTTTAGTGTGCCAAGGTTATTTGACAGAATCTGTTATTTGAGGTTGATTTTGTCGATGGTGATGTACTGTTGGATGGTGCAACCATGGGAGTAAACCAGGTGAAGTTATTCACCACGTCTGCTCAGAGTGAATCATTTGTAGAGAAGCTTTCTGAGAAGCATGAAGTGTGTGGGACAGAATAGCAATCCAACCGACTCCTTCACCTGGATGAAGTCGGTTGGTCTTAAATGTGAAACTGAGGCTTCCTTTTTGCTGCTCAGGACCAGTCACTTCCTACTAACAATTGCCTAAATGTCATTCTTGTGTAATGAATGTGCAGACAGCATAACATGATGGCATGGCTCCTTGCTTCTCCTGTCGTCTTCGCCATGTCTGTGGCTTTGACTCCGAGGTCGATCCTTGGTACGACCCTGAACAAGTCCAGGGCGTCATGGAAAATGATATTTTTATACTTCCTTGGAATGGACCCATATAGAGCATCAGAAGAATTCCAGCCAACAAACCTGATCTTGTCCTTTTTGAAAAAGCTAATGAATTTATTTATGTAATTGAATTTTCTGTCCCTTTTGACAGCAACGTGATTAGCAAGATTCAGGAAAAGCATACTAAAAATGCGGACCTCGCTTTTGAAATGTCTCGCTTGCATCCTAAGTACACTGTCGTCAGAATCCCCATTGTTCTCGGTGCCCTTGTTTAGGTTCGATACCTCCTGGTCTCTTGGCGAAGACCATGAGGGAGCCCGGGTTCTCCGGGAGCACAGTCGTTCTGACACTCTGAGTAATCCAGAAGGCTGCTGTGTTGGGGATTCTCCGGAAAGTTCTTGATGGGTTCGACTATGCAGCGTTTCCTGGGAGACGTCCCATTCGCTGTCGGGGCTGCGTGTAAAGGGGGCAAGGGTCATGAGCTGTTGATTAGCCTTACCAGCCTGACTGTGCCAGGATCACCCGAACCCTGTCTGCTGCATTTTCATCTAATAATCTAAAAACTAATAATAATAAATCGGACAATACGTCTTTCGGCACCAACATGGAGCCATTATGTCTGTATTCACGCTCATGGAAAGTATTCAATTTTATATGCATAGAGACTCTGCTGTTTTCTCTGTCTTTCTTGACAACGAAAACGCCTTTGAAAGAATCTGGCACGATGAATTATTTTATATATACTACCCATCAAAGGTTTAGACTCACTTAAAGCACCTTATATGTTTTTGTATATATATATGGATACATCGAAGATGAATTTCTCCACTAACTAGGGGGAACCAAGTGCAAACCTTATGCAGATGAACTGTACGAGGATCATGCATCAAATTGCTGAAAAGCATGTGCAAACATCGTGCTTGTGAACAGCTGTGTTTTGGTGTAAAGTTTTGTTAAAAATTCGCCAATTTTCCCCGGGTTTAATTATTTATTGAACTCATGATAATAATCTTTTCAACGTAACGAACTTGTTTTACAATACATCAGTTCATGTGGAAACAGTACCTTTCAACAGTATGAAATATTTTGCAAAATCTGTTTTGAACAGTTGACTAAAGTAAGTGGCTTCATTTACACTAGTGAGTCTAAACTTTTGATGGGTAGTATATTTTAAGAAATTGCTATAGGAGGTAATACTGTTACTATACTCCACCAACCCGTTTCCCGTGGGTTGCGCTCCTGTGTCGGTGGAGGACGGGAGGCTGGTGGTTGAGGGCACTGGTTCCAGGAACAGTGTTCCTTTGCCCAACACACCACTTCGCCCCTTACTTCACCTAGACGGGTGGTTGAACTGGCCCGGTTCAATCAATCGGCTGGTCACGCCAAGCCCTGTGCATGGTACATATATTATTTGCACACATACTTATTTTGGGGCTTTTGATATTTTGATCTTCCATTTACAAATTATTCTCATGTTGAATTGCCTAGAGTCCTATGCCAGAAGGCGGTGGCTCATGGGCCAATCTGGCAATAGAGACCTCTGAATTCTGTTCTTCTTCAGAAAGGTGTCAAGGGCGAACCAGCCTGCCATTTGTTCTGTTAGATTCGACAGCTATTCAAGTGTTTATGTGCTGGAGTATAACATCTCTGTAACCCTGGTGGAGCATGCTGGATTCCGCTGTAACACCGTCCTTGTTGACACTCCATGGTGGGTGGGGAGTAGGGATGTTGAACACTTCCTACACCATGGCTTTTCCTCTTCCTTCTGGTTCATCGAAGCATAAACGTAGATTTGTAGAATCTACATCGTCGGATGAAGGATCTTCTGACATTGTTGACTCGTGGCCGAGGTTCATTGTTATCTCATCTATAGAAGACACTCCGTTACAACTGAACCCCTTTGCAATCTCCAAGGGCATTTATGGTGTCTGTGGAGAAGTGAAGGACGTTACACGTCTCCGAAATGGCTCGCTCTTAGTGGAATGTGCCCGTAGACAGCAATCGGTCAATCTGTTGAAACTAAAACAGTTTGTGAATACACCTGTTGTTGTCTCGGCGCACAGAACTCTGAACTCCTGCAGAGGTATAGTCAGAGACAGGGCCCGTTGCCTTTCTGATATGGATGAGGACGATATTGTTCATGAACTAGAAAACCAGGGCGTAACAGGAGTAAAGCGTTTTTCTAAAAAGAAAGATGATGGCACAATTGTCAAGTTGAATACGTACTTGTTTATGTTCTCACTTTCCACGCTTCCAAAAAGTATAAAAGCTGGGTACTTTAACATCGGAGTTGAGGTATATGTACCAACTCCGCTCCGATGTTTCAAATGCCAAAAGTTTGGTCATGGGGCCAGGTTCTGCCGTAATACCATGGTATGTTCCCGTTGTCGTGGTGCACATGAACTCTCTGAGTGCACGAATAGCATCAAGTGTGCTAACTGCGATGGAGAACACTTGGCCTCATCAAAATCATGTCCGGTCTACGAACGTGAGACTAAAATTCAAAAGATAAAACACACCAGCAACATTTCTTACGCTGAAGCTAAAAAACAGGTAACTGTATCATCCAATTCTACTATTTCATATTCAACTGTAGTTTCCTCTCGTGGCAATACCTCCAGACCTCCCAAGACATCAACGTCGTGCCAGACATCCATATCCTGGGTGAACAAACAATTTACGATAGATGATAACATCAAGACCTCTCAAATTGGTATCTCTTGTATTTCGACATCGGCCTCTCAGACGGAGACTGTCACATCGCTGCCATCAGCAGATCCTGCTTCTGAACCTGAATGTTCCTCAAATGCATCACAGCAAATTAAACCATCCAAAAATGAAAAAAAGGAAAAGAAAAAATCGAGAGGAAGGACCAGGGCCCTTCAACATTTGGAGGTGCCTTCCTTTCAGTCGTCCCCTGTACAGGTTCAAAATCAATTTGAACCTTTGGAGATGGAGGTCAATCCCTCTGTCCCAGTCCATGGGAGTAGACCTCACTCCAATCCGCGTTCTCCAATTGATCCTCCATGAGTGGCTCAAATAACATTGTTCAGTGGAATTGTAGAGGACTGAGAAATAATTTTAATGATTTACAATTACTAATACAAGATTTCACACCATCAGCATTTTGTTTACAGGAGACGTACCTAAAAAACACAGATCAATTTGATCTCCGGCAGTATACTTCATATAACTTCTTTTCTCCTCCGGGACTCGGAGCTACTGGAGGCTCTTCAATTTTGGTGCGAAAGGGTGTTATACATAGCCCTGTTCCCCTAAATACAACACTTCAGGCTGTTGCCGTCAGGTTGACTTTACACATTGCCTTTACATTATGCTCCCTTTATGTGCCCATCTTCCACTCTTCACCAAACTGATCTTCAGGCTCTTTATGACCAGCTCCCCAAACCGTGTATCATTATGGGTGACTTGAACGGTCGTAATCCTCTTTGGGGTAGTTCTGATACAAACAGAAATGGGACAGTACTAGAAGATTTTATTTCAAACAACGATCTGTGTATATTTAATGATAATTCGAAGACATACCTTCATCCTGGCACAGGCACATATTCTTCTCTTGATTTATCACTCACTCACACAGATCTGTTAAATGAATTTGAATGGTCAGTCCATAACGACCTGTGTGGCAGCGACCATTTTCCAACCATTCTTAAAACAATAACTCCTGCTGATGTTGCTCCATCATCAAGATGGAACTTCAACAGAGCAAACTGGCCTCTGTTTGAATTACTCTGTATTGACAAACTAAATCCTGCTCGTTTTATTGATGCTCTTGATTCAGTGCAATTATTCTCTGATGAACTACGCAAAATAGCTGATGAGTGTATTCCTAGGTCCTCTACAAATCCACATATACGTAAACCATGGTTTAATAATGACTGCAAACAGGCTAGAAAGGCACGGAAAAAAGCTGAACACTATTTCCGTTGCCACCCAATGGTGCATAATTTAGATAAATTTAAAATTTTAAACGCTAGAGCACGTCGAACATTTAAGCAAAATAAGCGCCAGTCTTGGCAAAATTACGTTTCGAAACTAAATTCAAGGACGCCGATGTCCAAGGTATGGAACATGATCCAGAGAATTAAAGGTAAGGGTACCAAATCAAGCATTAATCATCTCAAAACTGGGGACGAATTGTTAACAGATAAATCTGACATCGTAAATAAACTGGGTGAAACACTTGCAAAGCATTCTTCCTCGTCAAACTATGTTCCTAAATTTCAAAAATACAAACAATTGCAAGAAAAGAAGCAAATCAATTTTCATTCAGATAATGGGGAAGACTATAATGAAATCTTTTCTATCCATGAGCTTCATACTGCTTTTGATCAAGCTCACAATACTGCAACAGGAGCTGATAACATTCATTATCAACTCCTGAAACACTTACCTGAATCCTGTTTAGAAACACTATTAAATATTTTTGATGACATTTGGACATCTCGTCAATTTCCTTCATCTTGGCGTGATGCCATTGTTGTACCCATACCTAAACCTGGACGTGATCATACAGATCCCTCAAATTATAGGCCCATTTCCTTGACTAGTTGCGTTTGCAAAACCATGGAGCGCATGGTCAATAACAGATTAACTTGGTACTTAGAGTCCAATAATTTAATCACAAATATCCAATGTGGTTTTCGTAAAAATCGCAGTACCGTTGACCATTTAGTTCGATTGGAGTCATTCGTTAAGAATGCCATTCTTAACAAGCAGCATGCAGTGTCAATATTTTTCGATTTAGAGAAAGCCTATGACACGACATTGAAGCATGGCATTTTACAAGATTTACATGATTTTGGTTTACGAGGCCGTTTGCCTCAGTTTATATCCGAGTTTTTAACTGATAGGCAATTTCAAGTCCGCGTGAGTTCTACCCTGTCTGACCATTATAAACAGGATCAGGGTGTCCCACAAGGTAGTATTTTGTCTGTCACATTGTTTAGTGTTAAGATCAACAGTTTATCCAAGGTCTTAAGTGATTCAATCGATGGGTCACTTTTTGTGGATGATTTTAATATTTCTTGTCGCGGTAAAAGTATGCATACTATTGAACGGCAACTGCAGTTGTGTTTAAACAAAATAGATAAATGGTGTCTTGAAAACGGCTTTAAATTTTCTAAATCCAAAACTAATTGTATCTATTTTTTTAGAAAATATAAACCGCATAAAGACCCTGAAGTGTCTCTAAATGGCTCTCCCATCAAAGTCGTTAAGGAAGCCAAGTTCTTGGGTTTAATTTTTTGACTCGCATCTAACTTTTCTTCCCCATATCAAGTCCCTAAAAACTAAATGCTTGAAGGCACTTGACTTGTTGAAAGTCGTTTCAAATTCTAAGTGGGGAGGGGATCAAGCCACCCTCCTACAATTATATCGATCATTGGTACGTTCCAAACTTGATTATGGCTCCATCGTGTATGGTGGAGCCTGCAACAGTAATCTAAAACTTTTAGATTCTGTCCACCACCAAGGTCTAAGACTATGTCTTGGTTCCTTTAGAACTTCACCTGTTGACAGCTTCTACGTGGAGGCTGATGAGCCATCTCTTACACAACGCCGTATAAAATTAACTTTACAGTATATTACAAAACTTTATTCCAATGAGTCAAACCCTGCATATAGCTGTGTCTTTAATCCCCTATATGAAGATCTGTATAACAAAAAGCCTTCTCTTGTTCCGCCTCTTGGTATAAGAGTGAAACCTTTCCTTTCTGCTGCTGGCATTGAGCTAGAACATATAGCTCCTTCCCGTCTTCTTTCTTCTCCTCCTTGGCAGTTGGTTAAGCCACAGGTTGACCTAACTCTGACAAAGTTTAAAAAATCAGAAACTAATGAATTAAAATATAAACAAGAGTATAATCAATTAAAAAGTACATATAATACATATAAATCCTTATTTACAGATGGGTCCAAGGACGGTGGCGCAGTGGCATGTGCTACTGTCATTGGATCCAGAACAATATCTTCTCGAATACCAGATAACAGCTCTATATTTACAGCAGAAGCAAAAGCCATCTTAACAGCTCTCGAATATATTCAAAGGCATCCTAAACATAAACAATATATCATCTTTTCTGACTCTCTGTCTTGAAATGCCAACGTGGCTGGGTAACCAACAGAAGACGATGTCGCATTGGCCAGTAGCAAGATCATTATATAATTCGATTATTTCAATTAAAAGTGGATGTTTGCAAGATAGATTTTTTAATCGCCTGAAGGCAAGAAGAGAGTCAGAAAAGATTATATATTGTTTATGTTTAGGATGTCTTTGAATATATTTAAGAGCTGTTATCCGGTATTCTAGAAGATATTGTTCTGGATCCATTGACAGTGGCACATGCCACTGCGCCACCATCCTTGGACCCATCTGTAAAATAAGGATTTATATGTATTATATTTACTTTTAATTGATTATACTCTTGTTTATATTGTAATTCATTAGTTTCTGATTTTTAAACTTCGTCAGAGTTAGGTCAACTTGTGGCCTAACCAATTGCCAAGGAGGAGAAGAAAAGAGGGGAAGGAGATATATTATCCAGCTCAATGCCGGCAGCAGAAAGAAATGGTTTAATTCTGTGCCCAAGAGGCGGAACAAGAGAAGGCTTTTGTTGTATAAAACGAAGGTATATGCAGGAGTTAAATTTGTTAGAGAACATTTTGGTAATATACTGTAATGATAATTTGATACGGCGTTGTGCAAGAAGATGGCTCATCTGCCTCGACGTGAGGCTGTCAACAGAGTGAAGTTCTAAAAGAAAGCCAAGCTAAAGTCTCAGACCTTGGTGGTGGACAGAATCTAATAGTTTTAGGTTGCTTTTGCAGGCTCCACCATAAACGATGGAACCATAATCAAGTTTGGAACGTACCAGTGATCGATATAGATGTAGGAGGGTAGCTTGACCCTCCCCACTTAAAGTGGAAACGACTTTTAACAGATCAAGTGCCTTCAGGCATTTGGCTTTAAAGTGATTTAATGTGTGCAGAAAAGTTAAATGTGAGTTGAAAATCAGACCCAAGAACTTGGCCTCCTTTACAACTTTGATAGGGGTGCCACTTAAAATAATTCTGGATCTTTATGCGGTTTTATATTTTCTGCAGAAATGTATACAATTAGTGTTTGCTATAGAAAATTTAAGTCCGTTTTCAAGTGACCATTTGTCAATTTTATTGAGACAAAGTTGTAATTGTCTCTCTAAGGTATGCATATTTCTACCTCTACAAGAAACATTAAAATCATCCACAAATGGTGATCCATCAACTGAATCACTTAAAACCTTTGAAAGGCTATTTATCTTAATGCTAAATAAAGTCACAGACAAAATACTGCTCTGTGGAACACCTTGGTCTTGATTAAAGAAGTCTGACAAGGTTGATCCCACACAAACTTAGAAACTGTCTGTCGGATAAAAAATTAGTTATAAATTGAGGCAAGCGACCTCTCAACCCAAAGGCTTGTAAGTCTTTTTACAATACCATGCTTCCAAGTGGTGTCATAAGCTTTTCAAGATAAAAAAGATGGATACAGCATGTTGTTTTAAAAAAAAAAAATTTTAACAAATGATTCCAAACCGAACCAAGTGGTCAACTGTACTACGGTTTCTACGGAAACCACATTGTATATCAAGTGATTAGATTGTTGGTTTCATAAAAACCAAACTAAGCGATTATCGACCATTCGCTCCATGGTTTTACAAACACAGCTAGTTAAGGAAATAGGTCGATAATTAGATGGATCTGTATGATCCCCTGCCAGGCTTTGGGATAGGAACAACTATGGCGTTTCACCATGAAGGAGGAAAATATCCCGTTATCAAAATATGGTCAAAAATGTTAAGTAAAGTTTCCAGGCAAGATTCAGGCAAGTGTTTTAAAAGTTGGTAAATGGATAGCATCAGGTCCCGTTGCAGTATCATGAGCTTGTGATAAAGCAGTGTGAAGTTCATGTAATGAAAAGACCTCATTATAATCTTCACCATTATCAGATTGAAAATTCACTTTTTCTTTTCTTGTTGTGTTTGATAAGCCTGAAATTTTTGTATTATAATTTGAGGAAGACGAATGTTTAGCCAAAGTTTCCCAACTTATTTGCAATATCACATTTTGCAGTTAGGATGTCATTATCATCTTTGAGATGTTGAATACCACTAGATTTGGAACCCTTGCCTTTTGATTTTTTGGATCATATTCCATACCCTTGACATAGGAGTACGCGAATTTATTTTGGAAACGTAATTTTTCCAAAGTATGACGCTTTATGTGCTTAAACGTTCGTCGAGCTTTAGCATAACTGATTTTTACATTATTTAAAGTTGTTGTACTGTAGGATGGCAGCGAAAATGTTTCTCTGCTTTCTTCCTATTTTCCTAGCTTGTTTGCATTCATCCATAAACCATGGTTTACGTATGTGAGGGTTTACAGAGGACTAAGGAATAATGTCATCAGCTATATGTTTTAGTTTGTCAGAAAACATTTTAAATGGATCAGGAACATCCATGAAAAGTCAGGTTTTGAGTTCTTCGAGTCAGGTAGCCTGAAATAAGGGCCAATTGCCCTTGGAAAATTCCATCTTGTTAAAGGAGGATCATCGGTAGGGTTAATTGCTGTAAGTACTGTTGGAAAATGGTCACTCCCACAAAGATCATTATGGACTGACCATTCAAATTCATTATAAACATTTGAATCAGTGATTGACAAAATCTAAAGAAGAATATGTACCCGTTGCAGGATGTAAATATGTGTTAGAGCCGTCGTTTAATATGCATAAATTATTATGAGAGAGATAAAATCTTCAAAAATTTTCCCTTTGTTGTTGGTATCAGTACTTTCCCACAGTGGGTTATGTCCATTTAGATCACCCATTATGATACAGGGTTTAGGTAGTTGGTCAAACAAATCTTGAAGATCAGACTGGTGAAGAGTTGAAGATGGAGAGATATATAAGGAACAGAGAGAAAATGGTTATATGTAAAGTAAGACGAACAGCAACAGCCTGAAGATTGGTTTAACAGGTACAGGGCTGTGGATAATGCCATTTCTCACCAAAATGGAAGATCCACCAGTGGCTTTGTCGCCCTGGAGGTGAAAAAGAATGGTAAGACTGGTAATGACGCAATTCAGACTTATCATTTTGTTTTAAATATGTTTCTTGAAAACTAAATGCTGATGGTGTAAAGTCTTGTGCTAGTAATTGTACTTTATTAAAATTGGTCCTAAGTCCTCTGCAATTCCATTGGGATTAAAGGGGTTATAAGTCATGTTATAGCGGGTGGTAATACTGGGGATCTACGTTTCCCCTTCGAGGCGAACCGCTTCTATTTCGCGCACGTGAATGAGGGAGACGTCCATGTCTTCTAAAATTTGAAACTTGTTATAGATTTGTACAGGGTCACGTGAGCCCTTTTGTACTCTGTCAGATTTTTGCCTGTGATCAACTTTATAGCTAGGATTTTCCACAACAGGAGACATTGTTCGTGGTTCAGTCTGACACGCAGATGTTGCATGATTCTCGTCAACAGTAGAAGCTGATGTGATTACTGTGTATTTGGCAGCTTTAGCCCAGGTGATATCTGTCTGACATGCAACAGACATAACAGATTTAGCAGGAGGGCGAGCAACAGCTGTATGTAATACCTGACGATGGAGGGAGGTGCATTTACTAAACGTTTTTGCCTCCTGGTAGGTTACATTCTTTTTTTGAATTGACAATTTCATATTCACGTTTCCAGATTTGACATAGCTTTGATGAAGACATATGATCGCCATGACAGTTAACACATTTTGGAAGACGAAAAGTCAGAACCTTCATGAGCTTCCTCACCGCATCTGTAACATGTCGCACGATTCCTGCAGGATTGGGCACCGTGCCCAAACTTTTGACATTTTGTAACAACGAAGTGGATTTGGAATATATTGTTCCACTGCGATGTTACAATAACCAGCTCTGATAGACTTAGGATGTTGGGGTTGTGAAAAACAAAATTAAATAGGTGTTTGTATTTAAAGTTTCTCCATTCTTTTTAAACGTGAACAGTTTAACATGAGTCACTCCTTGATTTTGTAATTCTGTGACGATTTCTGTTTTACTCATGTTGGCAAGCCAGCGGCCTCTGTCTCTCAAGATACCTTTGCTGCTGTTCAGAGACTCGTGGGGTGAAACTGAAACCGCAGTATTCACAAGCTGTTTGTGGCTATGAGGGTAGCTGATTGTTTGGCCGTTGTACACTCTATGAGGAGAAACCAAGATCTAATCTTTTTAACAGCTTGGACATCACCAACAAGTCCATAAATTGCTTTTGATGTGGCAAAATGGATTTAGTTTTAGTGGTTCACCATCAGTAGAAGATACAACCAAAAATCTACTCCATGTATCCGGGAATCGGTTTATGGAACTGTCCTCATCAGAGGACAAACACTCATCCAGTGCTCGTTTGTGTGTTTTGGGTTGAGCCATGGTTAATAGTAGAAAGATTCACCATCTCAGGTTCCCACCCCACGGAGTATCACAAGGACAATGCCATATACCAGTGGGTCTCCGACTGGCAGCACCAAGGATACTGAGATGGTATACTCCAGCAGAAGACTAATTGAAAATTAATCAGACCACCGGATTGGCCCATGAGCCACCGCCTTCTGGGCATAAGACTGGACAAAGCTCATAAGATCAAATTTCAAAATCTAAAAGTGTTAAATGAACAACGAGAGCCAAGACCAAACTTGAAACAATTTCAAATCAAATTTGTGCAATTATATAAAATACATACTCCATGCACAGGGCTTGGCGTGACCAGCCGATTGGTTGAACCGGGCCCATTCAACCACCCGTCTAGGTGAAGTCAGGGCCGAAGTGGTGTGTTGGGCAAAGGAACACTGTTCCTGGAACCAGTGCCCTCAACCACCAGAATCCCTTCCTCCACCGACACAGGGGCGCAACCCACGGCAAACGGGTTGGTGGACGAAATATCCCCGGGTCCACAACGGGGGTTAGAAGGGCGAGGAGGTGGCCCTTAGCTTTTGTGGACCCAGCACATGATGTCCACCATCGAGGAAGGTGGCCTAACTTCATGGGCTTCACTAATTTTGAAATATTCTTTTCATGTATTTCTTTCATTTTGACAAAATAGGTTTCAATAGATCCGATGGCAAGATGTGCATCAGAATAGTTCATTCTGGATAATACCTGAAGTAATCATTTAGACGATTCTCATGCATTCTTATTTCCAACTTATCTACTCTTTCTAAGAAAAATGTGAAAACGGGAGACAAAGGACACGTCTCTCTAAAACTACACTTGTTTCTTTACTTTAATGTAGCAATAAAAATATCATTTATTGTAAACGAGTTTACTGTCTGCAGATATGAATAATAGCTAGTCTAAAATCTATTTTAGAACTTGTTTCTTTTGTTTAATGAAGGTAGACAGATACCATAATTTATTATGTAATGCGTTTACGATTGTATAAATATTAACTCATCGGTTTTTACTTCTGAATAAAATCTATTTTAGGACCAGAAGGAATCCGGTCTTTTATTGCTCTACTTGAGTAACACGAGCTCCTCCACGGGCCTCCTCCTTGCTATGCCTTCCCATACGACACCCCTGTCAGTAACGGCGGGATCTACAGTGCAACATGTGATGGCATTGGAAGATATTTCTCAATATCAAACACCACATACCTCAATCTCTGTGAGGTCAGAAATATATGTTAGGAGTGTATTAAATTTCTGTACGGTTACTGTTCATATGACAAAAGGCACACATATTTTGATGCCATAATCGGACATAGACCCTTCCATATATCAACAAGTATCCGACATGGACAAACTCTCATTTGTAATGCAAATCTACATTCTTATTGTGTATCCGTATCACCTATTTTCAGTTTGCAGCCCTGGGTTGTTTGGTGAAACCTGCAGTAGAATTTTGTCCACTGCGCTGAAGGAGGCGTGTGACCATATGTAAGTGGTTTGTGTCAAGAGACTGTAGACCAGGGTGGCAGGGCAACAGGTGTGATACAGGTGAGGGGCGTAATACATGGTGTAAGAGAAACTGGTACTAGGCAGGTGAGGAGATTCCTCAGTGAATCCTGTAGACTATGAGCCAGGATGGCAAATAGACAGGTGATATTTTTATGGGTCTGTGATATAGGTTTTAACGTCCAAAAGACAAAGGATTGGACACAAGTGCACCACTTTTTGTGTGTCTTTCGTCATCAAAATTAATTAAAACCTCAGAATAGTGACTTCCTGAAGTCATAATATAAAGTGCATTAAAACAAAGAAATGTAATGAATTTTCACATGGCGCTCCACATTCGCATTCAATAACCTCAGATAGGTTAACCCGGAAACAGGTCGAAATTTAGTGTGCTACAGCTGTGTCTCAATCTAGTGTGCAATACGTTTGTGTATCTCTAACCGCAATTATACATCGGTGGAAACGCGGACTGCTCCGATACGACAGTTTTTAAAGAATATATTGACGGACTATTGCTTACCTTTGACGGTATCGGAGCTATTCCATTGGCCTAATGTATCGATAACATATGATCTTTTATTCGTAGATGTCCGTGCAAATAGTGCAACAAAATTAATGACAATGGTACAGGTGAAGAGAATGTGTCCCAAACGACTAAACGTTACACAACGAGGGATGTTGATGTAATAGTTTAATGGCTAAATACAAATCAAATCCTGTTTATTCCAAGACCATGTTATTTAAATAACTACTTTAAACCCGCTGACATGTCATTATGACAGTATTTATTTAAGCAGCAGGCCCTTTTACTATGATTATGACTTCAGAACACCCTGATAAATCAAAATTGATGTATGTTGGTTGAAATCCTGATACGGTAATATGATAGTTATTAATCAAATTGAAAGAAAGTCTTTTCTTCATTACTGACTTCATTGTGTAAAATACTACATGAACTGTCATTTGTGAACGTCCCTTTTGATGGTTTGTGCTGATATATTAACATACCTTATGATTCCTTTTCAACATGATAAGAACATTATGCATTAAAACTTCCCGAATCTAAACTAAGAATATTCGTTTTTCATTTTTCTTGTACATACATACCAACATTTGTATAGCGCCGATATCCAGCTGTGAATATCGATAAATTTAGACAGAATACTGCCAGTTTGCTATTGTGCTGAATATTCATATAATATGTTCCCTCGATCACTGGATGTCAATCTCAACGGCACATCGTATTATCAATCTCAACTCCCTGGGGAGTATACAACTCTTGCAGCCACTAGGCGCACCGAGTTAGTGTGGCTTTCCCATCCTTACGCGGTACCCATTCACAGCTGGGTGGACTGGGACATAGTCACATATTTTGTCAAGTTTACTGCACGTTGGTGTACCCGCAACTAGGTGTTTGCACGTATTCATGTGGCCCACCATCTGGTCATATACCAACGGATTCATGGGTTCTTTTAAGTGCACATGGTTGTGTACTGTAAACTAGGGGTTGTGACATCACTGAAAGAGTCTGCACACAATGTTCACTCCAAGGCATTTACACCCGGTCACAGGTGGACTCGAAGCCGTCACCTCAAGCTCGCTGGATCACTAGCCTGGCGCTTTAGCCAGTTTGCCCACCACGCCCGTAGAATGTGACGCTAACCACTATGTAGTCAACTGTGTGAACACGTGTACTGACAGGAAGTGTTCTGATGTCATCTCGTCATGTGATCGCTACACCGGGTCATGCGACAGGGGATGTCTTACTGGTTGGAGAGGTGTGGATTGTTCACAAGGTACATGCTGGCACTTAATTCCTCACAAAATGGGCTTTTAGATCAAATTATTAATTTTCAGTTATCTGTTATCAGAACTTTGTTATGGCTAACTATTACATATTGCCTTGGATACCTAAAACTGTTAGAACAAATAAAACAAGGAGATTCAACCTTTAGCTTAAAACCATAAAATGACAATGGGCTTTTGCAATATTTTCACGTCATTGCGACTTCTCCATAGAGTGTACAAATGGACGCTATGGACAGAACTGCATCGACTCTTGTTCTGACAGGAAGTGTGTCCGAAACTCAGTTCTTTGATCACATAAGAAGAACACTTGTTCTGACAGGTGCAGGAGACTCTGCCTTGTAATCTGGTTGTGCACCAGGGTGGATGGGTGAAGACTGCAGAGGAGGTAAACATCTTTACAGACATCTGTATTTACTTTTGACATTATTTGACTTCAACATTACTTTCAAGCTTTAAAATCTATGATCGTACGATCATACAAAGCCATCTTTTATCATACAATGATGTACCTCTACACACAATAAGGACTAGAATATATACTCAACATGAATTATAATCCATGTACTAATTATTTATATATACGACAACATAAGAAAGGTAACACATTAATTGTGAGTAAAGTCTTTTTCGTTTCGTGTTGTGCCACACCACGGCAGTGAAACGTTTAAACATGATCTGTAGAATAGCGTGAAACACAACTATAATGGGCAACGAGTGACGTAATTACCTCAGCGATCCGTACATGTACATTTTGCCTAAAACATGGTTATTCTTTTGAAGTTTCATTTTATATTTCTATCAAGACTAATAGGAAATGTGCTTGCTCATACATGAAGACGATTAGAATACATAGCTCAAATGGTATCCTATTATAGCATGACATACATTTATGTGCGTAAAGGTGTTCATTAAATACGAGCCATACACTGTAATATATGTTCATGCCATTTGTGATTTCTCCACAGTGTGCTCAAACGGAAGCTAGACCAGGGTTACAGGGAGACAGATGTGACACAGGTGAGGAGATTCAGTCAGTGGTGTGTCCTGGAGGCTGTAGACCAGGGTGGCAGGGCAGACAGGTGTGATACAGGTGAGGAGATCCAGTCAGTGGTGTGTGTCCTGGAGACTGTAGACCAGGGCGGCAGGGGAGACAGGTGTGATACAGGTGAGGAGATACAGTAAGTGGTGTGTGTCCTGGAGACTGTAGACCAGGGTGGCAGGAAGATAGATGTAATGCAGGTGAGGAGATCAATCAGTGCTGTGTGTCCTGGAGACTGTAGACCAGGGTGGCAGGGAGAGAGGTGTGATACAGGTGAGGTGACTGAGTCAGTGGTATGTGTCCTGAAGGCTGTAGACCAGGGTGGCAGGGGAGACAGGTGTGATACAGGTGAGGAGATCCAGTCAGTGGTGTGTGTGTCCTGGAGGCTGTAGACCAGGTTGGCAGGGAGACAAGTGTGATACAGGTGAGCAGATACAGTAAGTGGTATGTGTTCTGGAGACTGTAGACCAGGGTGGCAGGTAGTCAAGTGTGATACAGGTGAGGTATTCCAGTCAGTGGTGTGTGTTCTGGAGACTGTAGACCAGGGTGGCAGGGAGAGATGTGTGTAACAGGTGAGGAGATCCAGTCAGTGGTGTGTCCTGGAGACTGTAGACCAGGGTGGCAGGGAGACAGGTGTGTAACAGGTGAGGAGATCCAGTCAGTGGTGTGTGTGTCCTGGAGACTGTAAACCAGGGTGGCAGGGGAGACAGGTGTGTAACAGGTGAGAGTCCAGTCAGTGGTGTGTGTCCTGGAGACTGTAGACCAGGGTGGCAGGGGAGACAGGTGTGAAACAGGTGAAGTGATTCAGTCAGTGGTGTGTGTACTGGAGACTGGAGACCAGGTGGAAGGAGTCAGTCAAGTGTGATATAGGTGAGATATTCAGTCAGTGGTGTGTGTCCTGAATACTGTAGACCAGGGTGACAGGGAGTCAGGTGTGATACAGGTGAAGGGATCTAGTCAGTGGTGTGTGTCCTGGAGACTGTAAAACCAGGGTGGCAGGGGAGACAGGTGTGATACAGGTGAGGATATCCAGTCAGTGGTGTGTGTCCTGGAGACTGTAGACCAGGGGTGGCAGGGAGACAGGTGTGATACAGGTGAGGAGATCCAGTCAGTGGTGTGTGTCCTGGAGACTGTAGACCAGGGTGGCAGGGGAGACAGGTGTGAAACAGCTGAAGTGATTCAGTCAGCAGTGTCTGTACTGGAGACTGTAGACCAGGTGGAAGGGGAGACAGGTGTGATACAGGCAAGGGAGATCCCAGTCAGTGGTGTGTGTCCTGGAGACTGTAGACCAGGGTGGCAGGGGAGACAGGTGTGACACAGGTGAGGATATCCAGTCAGTGGTGTGTGTCCTGGATACTGTAGACCAGGGTGGCAGGGGAGACAGGTGTGATACAGGTGAGGAGATCCAGTCAGTATTCTGTGTCCTGGAGACTGCAGACCAGGGTGACAAAGGGAGACAGGTGTGATATAGGTGAGGAGGTCCAGTCAGTGGTGGTGTGTCCTGGAGACTGTAGACCAGGGTGGAAGGGAGACAGGTGTGATACAGATGAGGTAATCCAGTCAGTGGTGTGTGTCCTGGGGACTGTAGACCAGGGTGGCAGGAAGACAGGTGTAATATAGGTGAGGAGATTCAGTCAGTAGTGTGTGTCCTGGAGACTGTAGACCAGGGGTGACAGGGGAGACAGGTGTGATATAGGTGAGGAGATCCAGTCAGTTGTGTGTGTCCTGGAGACTGTAGACCAGGGTGGCAGGGGAGACAGGTGTGATACAGGTGATGAGATTCAGTCAGTGGTGTGTGTCCTGAATACTGTAGACCAGGGTGACAGGGAGTCAGGTGTGATACAGGTGAAGGGATCCAGTCAGTGGTGTGTGTCCTGGAGACTGTAAACCAGGGTGGCAGGGAGACAGGTGTGATACAGGTAAGGAGGATCCAGTCAGTGGTGGTGACCTGGAGACTGGTAGACCAGGGTGTGGCAGGGGAGACAGGTGTGATACAGGTGAGGAGATCCAGTCAGTGGTGTGTGTCCTGGAGACTGTAGACCAGGGTGGCGGGGAGACAGGTGTGAAACAGGTGAAGTGATTCAGTCAGCGGTGTCTGTACTGGAGACTGTAGACCAGGTGGAAGGGAGACAGGTGTGATACAGGCAAGGAGATCAAGTCAGTGGTGTGTGTCCTGGAGACTGTAGACCAGGGTGGCAGGGGAGACAGGTGTGACACAGGTGAGGATATCCAGTCAGTGGTGTGTGTCCTGGATACTGTAGACCAGGGTGGCAGGGGAGACAGGTGTGATACAGGTGAGGAGATCCAGTCAGTATTCTGTGTCCCTGGAGACTGTAGACCAGGGTGACAAGGGAGACAGGTGTGATATAGGTGAGGAGGTCCAGTCAGTGGTGTGTGTCCTGGAGACTGTAGACCAGGGTGGAAGGGAGACAGGTGTGATACAGATGAGGTAATCCAGTCAGTGGTGTGTGTCCTGGGGACTGTAGACCAGGGTGGCAGGAAGACAGGTGTAATATAGGTGAGGAGATTCAGTCAGTAGTGTGTGTCCTGGAGACTGTAGACCAGGGTGACAGGGGGGAGACAGGTGTGATATAGGTGAGGAGATCCAGTCAGTTGTGTGTGTCCTGGAGACTGTAGACCAGGGTGGCAGGGGAGACAGGTGTGATACAGGTGAGGAGATTCAGTCAGTGGTGTGTGTCCTGGAGACTGTAGACCAGGGTGGCAGGGAGACAGGTGTGATACAGGTGAGGTGATCCAGTCAGTGGTGTGTGTCCTGGAGACTGTAGACCCGGTTGCCAGGGAGAGGGAGGTTGCATGGACAGTTTCTGTTACCTGATACCCCGTGTGTCACCCCTTTTTAAGTGTGTACGTAACTGTAATGACGTTCAAAGTGAAAAAGATCGAACTGATGTAAACCTACTTAGTTCATTGGGAACCGGATGATATGTGTCAACAATTCAGCCAGCCTGCCCAGCCAACCCCGTTAGTGGCCTCTTACGACAAGCATGGGTTACTGAAGATCAATTCTAAACCCAGACGTTCACGGGTTGTGTGATATTTGGAAGTCGCTGTTGTACAGAAGAATCGATATATCTTCTATTTAAGTCGGCGCCGAACAAGAAAATAATTCCAGACCCCTTAAATTTCGGCTATTGTAATTTATAATAATAATAGTTCATTTGTATAGCCCCTGGTATGCATCTGTCTAGCTGCTCACTGGCGTATATGTAGGAGTAGTAGAGTGAGAGGGGATGGCAAATATTGTAAGCAGTTCTCAACAGAAACGTTTGATTAGGCTTTTAAAAGTGGATTCACAGATGGTGACTTTGGGTTCTGATGTAAAATGTTTGCATAATTGAGGTGCAACAATGGAGAGGCTCTGTCACCCATTTTGCTTGTGGAGACTGGTTGGGACAAGAGGAACTGATCGGAGAAGCTTGCTGGTGAGCTCTTTAAGGTAGAGAGGGCTGTTTTCCCTGTAGGGGCTCGATGAATCAGTAACCGAATTTTATAGAAGATACGCTGTTGAACTGACAACCAATGGAGAGATTCCTGAACTGGAGTGATGTGGTCAGTGCGTTGCTTGCGTGTAATCAATCTTGCAGCAGAATTTTTGTACTCTTTGCAGACGTGATAGAATCGTTTTAGGGAGGTTGACAAGAAGAGAGTTACAGTAGTCGAGGCGGCTGATGATTTGTGTCGATCGTGAGTAAATACAGACAAAACAGGGATATCTCCACTGCATGAAATGTTAGTTACAGTAACTCAGATTTACAGTGAATAAGGTGAGTGAGTTAAATTTGTACATCGCATCGGCAAT